CGTTGTGGATATTTGAAGTTTGTACATACGACTTTAGATACATTCTGCATTTCTTCAAATCTGTTTAACACGGAAATTGAACACCCACAGAACTCCTGCCACAAGCTGGTTTGACAGCTTGCCAGAAAAGTAGTTTTAGAATATGCAAAGAAACAGGAGGAAAGCTTTTTAACAAGTTTTTGGCATGTTGGCCACGGGAGCCTCCGTTTTTATCTGAACATACAATTCTTGAAATTCTTCAAAGAAAGCAACCTCCTGTACTCCTAGGTTCAGGACTGGACAGAATTTCAGAAGTGGAGGAGGGGAATCAAAAACAAAAAAGCCTTTTTATCTCAGTCTGTGCAGAGCAGAAGAAATCATTGAAGTTGCAAATAGAACAACCATTCTATGGCAAAGCAGCAGATGGCAAACTGTACGACATGATTCCAATGAATGACTGAATTGTACGCTGTTTCCCCTCAGAAAGTCTCTATTAACAGTGAAGCACTCTACAGAACTCTAACTGCTGCACTTTGACAAGGACTCAAAAAAAAAAAAAAAAATCAAGGTATTGCTGCAGGTTTTTCAGTCCTGCATATTAAGGTCTCACAAAACCGCAATTTACATTTCGATGGCAATTGTAACACACATTTGGTCTCTCATTGAAAGACTCAGAATTTTAAACACTGATAGCAACGGAGCAATGGAACAGAGGTCCTTCCTCAGGTGGAGCTCAAGTGTTTGGTTGGATACATACAGGTAAAAAGAACTTAAGAACAGAATTCAGCAACTAAACTCAGATTCATTGTTTGCATTGCATAGACTGCAACTGTGTGCTTGCTTGCGTGGCACAAACTCCTGTCTGAACATTGCCTTTACCCTTTTTACTGCAGCATAACTTCATGACTGAGCAGGATTCACTGAAGCGAGAAGAGGATCTGTTATCCAGAGGTAAAGGAAGAAAGCAATTATCTTTCATCTCCATATTCTGTGTTGTATGTGACATCTGTTCACTTGAAATTATTATTTTAACAGGCTGCTGTGAAAAGCCGTTATTATCCTGAAACTGGATAATGTGGTCACAGATTAATACAAATAGAAAGTGAGGTGCTCTTGGCAGAGACCTCCTTTTATGTCTATGCTTTCTACAAAACAGCAAGATGCCAAAACCTTAACACTGAATTTCTGGGTGCCACAGAAATATAAGTAGTAATTAAGTACAATTATTCAGTCTCTGCTTATAATTAATCTTTACCCACTTGAGTAGCATCATATAAACCTTTGAGTGGCGGGTGCAATTTTCACTCCAATGGCAGTTATGCTATTTCAGTGCTGGATAGATTTCTCTTGAAACTTTGCTTCTGGCTCTGCCTGAATCTTTCTTTTGCCTGGTCTGTCAGTCTCAAAGAAGCAGTAGCGGATGCACATGCCACCTGTGGGCAGAAATAGCACATCCAGGTGCCACCACACCACTAGATCTTTCTTCTAAGCCTCCTGCTTTTGAGAACAACCATTCACAGAGGTCTCACTGCCAATAACACCACCCTTACTTTCCCCAAGTAACTTCATAGCTTATTTCTGCACTGTGATGCTACATGACAGGTTTCTTCCACACTTTCCTTTTGTTCATGTGCATATGTTAATGCGCATCACATGTGTAGACCTGCCCCTCCAAGCCTCAAAATATATTCCCAGCTTTCCCTCTTTTATAAAAAAAGACACCTCTGCAGTAATATGCAAAACTTCTTGCTTTCTTCAAGAGTTCATTTTTTCAAAGAGGATGTGTTACAGCTGAATACAGGATACAGAATGTCTTTTCTTTTAAAACTGTGTTGAGGAGTCCAGAAGGAGATAATGAAAGTATTCATACTCAGGATCATACTGTGCTGAATTCAGGAATGCAGATTTTAAAAAAATGCAATCCACAAAGGCATCACAGCTTGTTCCATCTAAACTGTACTCTGCATGTTTGCAAACAACTTTTCAAGAAAGATGCATGAAAGTGCTTTTTGTTGAAAAAATTAATCCTCTTGATATTTTATATGTAAATAAACTTACATTCAGATGGACAATCCCTAATCCCTACCAGATCACCATCTTGAAGTTAGAAAAAGTAAAATTCAGGTGTCTTCAAAAACAAACCAGCCAGTAAAGTTTCCTAGAAATACCAGAAGTTCCACAGATAAGACATATCTCACCTTTCACTGTCAGAGTTGTTTTCAGATTTTGCTCCAGATATTTGTATTTCATTTAGTTCGAGTTGTTTTTGCAGCTGGTGACGCTCCTAAACAAGAAATGTTATCCTTCAGTTTTCCATGAGTCAAATGTAAAGGCTTCACAAAGTGTATTTCATTGCAATTCAAAAGAACATTTGTGAAGTTAAAATAGAAACTGATTAAACAAAATTCAAGCATTTCCTATAGCAAAGCAGCATAGAATGCATAATAATAAAATTCCCAGCTATGCATGGGAATAAGATCAGTTTTCCATTTCCTATTCAAAGATGTATGGTTGTACTTGAAACTGAATTTTCTGAATAAAAAGATGAGTCATCACAATCTTTAACTACATAAATGTCAAATTTTCCATGTTATTCCTCCAAAAAGATCTCTCAATCCAAGGCTGAGATAAAAGGTATTGCTCTATTTTCTTGCCCAAAATATTCCTGTTTATTTTTCAGGTGTCCACTAGCACAGTGGTCGTGAAGATCTATGAGGACTTGGGGACTGAGTCAACACAAATTAACAGAGGAGTCAGCTATCCACTTTAATGGGAATTTAAGTGGTATTCAGTTTTACTCTGCAAGTATCAGACAGATAAGAGCAAATTAAATAACAAACCAAGAACTACATTGCAATCCTTTATTCACTGCATAATACTTACAAGTTGTAGGCTGAAGCCCAGATGAAGTTAGTGAAGCTACTAAAGGGGCATATTAAGCTAAATGATTTCTCAGTGTAATCACTAATTCTACTAATAGATTTGCAAGCATTAGACAAAAGAGGCTCAATACAGGTGCACATTAGACCAACCAGTCAAGCCAACAAGATTAACTTATAAAAAAAATAAATCTATTTCTCAGTAACAAATATTTACTATACTAAACTAAAGTTAGTGAAAAAACACTTCACTTGGAAGAAGATCGTATTCTCTCCACTTACTAGCATGCTCTCTGCTTCTGTATTTTTGATAGCAAGGCACAGATCTTTAAAGATAATGAGATGCCTGCTATTCAATGAAATGAGAAATGCCAAAGTACATCCAAGAGCATCAGAGTCTCTTGGAAGCGCTGCTCTTACATCATATAGAGTGACACTATTCAGTCTAAGGATTAAACAGTAACATTCATTCTCATTTAGGTGAATGATACCAGAAAATGAAGAGGAAATTTCACCATAACTGTTTGAGGCAGAAGACATAAAGCTGTTTCAGATGTCTGAAAAGGTTCAACAAATAATGTTCAGATGCAGTGTACTATGCCAGGAGAGGTACTATGATACTCTTAGTCTTACTAATACATTAAAATAATAATCAGCTGACTACTAGTCTGAGTTTTGCTGTGAAGTCCATAAAAGAGAAGAAGGAAAAGCAGCAAATAAAAAGAAGCAATGTACAAACTGCCATAACCAGTTTTACAGTAGTGCTGCCAATGTCACAAGAGCTTAATGTCCCAAAGCATTTCTGCTTTCAAAGCTTTAAGAGTAAATTGTCAAAAACCTGCTCTTAATTACAGTTTGGCAGGGAATATTTAGCCAGGGAGAGGAATAATTTAAAGTTTCTTAATGCTAGGAGGAAAGGAAGAACCTAAATTTTGGATTAAAAGGCAGTAAAAATTATTTTATCTTTTCTTCTCAAAATATTCGGAGCCATAATCTAAATAATCATCCATGCAGATATCTATCTTAAGTAGCTGCTACACAACCACAAAAAACCCTCAAAACGTTTTAGTCTGAAGCTTTCAGTTTAGCATTCCATCTACATGTGGAGAAATTTGGAGATACAATTCCCATCAGGACTATAAATAGCTAAATAGTAAGGTCTACTCCTAACTAAAACACATTTTAATGGACCTATCAACAGCATTTCTGAGAGACTTTGGATCATTTATGATTACTACTTCGTTAGGCTTAGGAGACCTTGCACACTGAAGGAAGACTGAATGGTCTTTTTAAACCTTTCTTTAAAACAATGGTTCATTTACTAAATAATTTTTGACACCTTAGGCAGCCCTGACTGTAAAGAACACTAGAAAGGTAGAAGAACCACTTATTTACAGTGTCTCTGTGGTAGTTCAGGTCCATTTACTTATATACATACAGTAACTAAGATGCACAAAGCAATGGTATGTCACCGAGCAGGGTCCTGGGCAGCAGACAAAAAAAAACCCCACACCCCACGATTTAAAAAAAAAAAAAAAAAAAAAAAAAATCAAATTTCCTCCATATACTAGGTATTTGTGCATTTGCTTTAAAGGCAGCAATCAACTAACTCTCATACCTCTTCCATGCGTTCAATCAGTCGGTCCAGCTCACCAATTCTCTGGTCTTTTTCCTGTATGCTTGTTTCTGTAATCTGCATCTTCTTATTTGCCTCTTCAATAGCCTTCAGAAGCCGATTTGTTTCTTCCTTCAAATAAGAACATTTACAGTCACATTAATATCCAAGATATTAATGAAGAATTTTTATTTATTTATTTTTTTAGGCCATAGGGCCAGGTTAATAGCTTTTCAGCAGAGCTCAAAACTTCACTGTCCCTGCCCAGAAACCTGGAAGAGTTGTGACCCTAAACGTGAATTGTATAGAACAAAAGATTTGGGGCACTTTGAAGTCCACAGGTATTTGCAAAGCATCATTACGAAAATCTGAGAAAAACTTCTACCCACTTCTTAGATATATTGTCTTCCCTTCTGAGGATGCTGTGAAGTTAACAGCATAAGAAAAATATGCTGTTGCAGAAGATAGCATTTTAAACACCAAAGTTTGCCATGTTCAGCTTTGTACTTTCCTCCCATATAAAACAATGTGAATAGAAAGAGACTGGGGAATCTACCTTCTTATCTCAGACATTATCTGTCTTTATCAGTGAGAAAATTAAAATGACTAACTGCTGATAGGAAAGTTTTACTTGGGGGTGGAGGGAAACCAAGGGACAGGAAGAGTTCTTGCTCTAGTAGTGTCCACTGAAGTAAGGGAAGGGGGAACAACTTCATTTCAAATTTTGAAATCTACATTATTGTTAGTTACTCTGAACACATTTTTTCCTTAGCCTTATAACCCCACAAGCTTGGAAAGCTTAGTAACTGTGGCATAACTAGCCACAGAGACAGGAGTGAAAGAATATGTGAGCTCTGGAGTATCAACTGATTGAGAAACGACACCCAAGCTAAGCACCACTCTTACAGACTGGCTGTACGTACTAGGAGGATTTCTTTCTCAGCTTTATGTTTCTGCTCCTCTTCTCGCATTTTTTCCTCATACTGACTATAAAGTTTTCTTGTCATCTCTCTCATGACTTCAGCATTGGCTTCCTGCGACGATTCCACCTATGAGAGCAGAAAGTTGACCCATCAGTCAGTACAGCACTGCTGGCAGCAGGAGAAATGGAGTTCACACGATGTTAAGAAGAACACTTTGAACTTCAGTTCCATCTTGTCACAAATTTGACACTGCTGAAGCAGATTTTCATTTCCACTAAGATCACTTACAAAACTCTGCCAGTATACAAGTCATTCAAATTTGTAGAAGTTACCATTTCATCAAGTTTCATGTTATCTGAATTTAGCCAGTCATTGCTGATCCAAGACCAGGCTATGTCTCTTTATAACAGCTATAAGGCTGTTAATAGCTATAAGGCTATGCCCTTTCATAACAGCCTCCAAGTTACTTGGTTTGTTTCCCCATTGAAAAGGTATTGTCTCCTCACATTTTACAGAAGCATAGATTAGAGATGGTCTAGACTCAACTTCTGTTTCTAAGCGACCATGTGCACTCAAAGCAGTAATTACTTTAAGCTGGACCTAAGTATGTGTTGTTAACTAGAAGACACAGGTGTACCCTCCTCCTCTCTCTTGTTTTTTCATGTACTGCTTTTTGTGTAGGCAAAACTGGGGTGACCATGGAACAAAGCAGATCAGGGAACAATCATACTTAAAATTAGTATACTCAGGGGTGTGGAAGGGTTAATTTTTAACCACAAGACCAGAAACTTTACTACTGCTACAGGGAAAAGGGCAGGAATGGTAATTCAGAGACAGGATTTCCCCCTTCTGTTGGCTCAAAACACTGAACCACACCCTCAGTGATTAAACATGAGAGAAGATACTCACAGTTTAAACCATTTATTCTGTAAACTGGAATAAAAGCAAAGTAAAATAGCTAGTCCAGGACTTAGTTCTCTAGCTAGAGGTGCTATAAATCAGACAAGGTTACAGTGAAATGCTGTGGGTGGTACAAAAGTCAGGAGGAGGAGGAATACACTGTCATTTGGTAGAAGAATAAAGTGTTCCCTGCCGATCACTACAGTTTACACAGCTACAAAATACCTGGTTCTGATGATTAAAGTTTTGGAGGTTAGTGTGGTTCGGTTTTTTTTTTTTTTTTTTTTTTTTTTTTTTCATTTCAAGGACTAAAAGATTTATTAAACACTTGTGTTTATCTTGGATGGTAGGAACAAGCTGCTTTACTACCCCGCAGGATAACAACAGTGTATTTCATCCTTTGAGGAGGGACTGAACTCTGAAGTATTTCAGTTGTACTACAATGGCCCCCTTGGGCATCTCACCTAGACCAACACGGGCAGGGGTAGTAACCTGCACTTTGTGAGAGGGAATGAAGTTAAGGTTTAGTACAACACGAAACCTTCCACATTTCAGAAAGCCTGAAAGAATCACATCATTCAGAAAAAGCCAACGATCAAAACACAGAGTCCTTAAGATACACTGAACTGGAATATCATCTCCGGCACTCTCTGTCCATCATTCCTTTGCTTATAGCTTGAGCAATGAGAAGAGTGAAAACAAGCATAAAAACGTAGACACATCAGGGCATCTGTTATAGTACTCTTAGGCAATGTCTCCAACCTCAGTTATTGTTACAATTGTATGAATAAACCAAACCTACTTAATAAACTACATGGGTGTGTTCTGCTACCCAGCAAATAATCATGGCATGTGGTAGTTACTGCTTTTCAACTGCTAACCTCCCAGGTTCCACATCGTCCTCTTACATTCACGCCTGCAATTAAATTCCAGATGTCTTGGTATCTTTGATACACAATTTTATGTTTAACTTTCAAAGACAGTAATGAGGTATTTTATCCACTAACTTTGTAAGAATACTGCAACTTTGAGGGTAAAATTTAAATTTTTTCCTCATTAAGGCAGGCATGTATTCTGCAGACCTTGACATGCTTGAAGATAAACAAATCCTTAAGCATTCAGTTGAATTGAGACTTAACCTGTGGTTCTCTGCCCTTAGAAGCAGACATACCTTTCCCTGACTTGTTAGTGCATGTCCTTAAGATTATAGTAAAGTCCGAATTTCTGTTTTGAAATCTTAATAGCATCAGCTTTGCTTCCTTCTTTTAATTGGTTTCCCCCTCTTTTTATTTCCAGCTGACAAAGGCAGGTAGAAAATACAGCTATTTTTACAGCCTGCAAAGTATCGCTATGAGAGGAAACCAGAACATGAACTCTTACGTTGAAATACACTTATGTTTATGTTTTCTCTTCTAACCATTCACCATTAAACATGAATGCAAGTCACTACAGAGCCAAAAAGAAACATCTCTGACAAAATGAAACATGAAGAAAACAGCAGTCACCTTAATTTCACAGTGACAAATTCTGTTACAGCACTATATCCAAATTAGTCTATTTTGAGCAATTTTAAGAGAGATGAATGTTTCCAGAAGAAGGGTTTTGTTTGTTTGTGTTGAGTTTTGTTTGTTTAAATGAGATTAAGGGAATACATTTGGCAGATAAGGGGAGAAAATGGTCAAGCTTTCTGGCATATAACACCTTCCAGTTTGCATTTTATTCCCTTGCATTTTTTTGAAAGAAATAGCTTAATTCTCTTTCCAAGACATTTACCGTTACTGCATGTATCTACTCATATGCTCATAAAACTAAGCAGATTACCTATTAAAAATTGTGCAATACTAAAGAAACAAATTCAATATGAAGAAATTCCTACAGCACCATGTAGAGTTATAACATTCCTTTACTTACAGCAATGGATCATTTAATGGTTTGGATTTTCACCTGCCAACATCCCGGAATGACAATGCCATGTTACGGAAAGACTGACTGCTGTAAATTGAGATTCTTCATTATTAAAACAGTATTTGATTCACAAGAATATGTCAGCTTTAGGGAATGATGACGGCATGAAGAACCCTTTACAAATAAGATCAAGGAATTCATTTACCGTACTGCTGATGCCCGTACTGTACAATATTTTTAGGGGAGTTTATATACTGCACCTTTAATTTCAGTAACTGATTTTCAATTTGTGCTGTTTCCAGTTGCTTTTGCTTCTCTCTCAGCTTTTCCATAGATTGCTCATGTGTATGTTTTAAATTCCTTATTTGTTCCCTTATATCAGTGTTCTCCAACGTGACATCCACTAGAGTTTTCTAGAAGAAAGATGCAAACCACATATTAAAAATCACAAATAATTTGGTGAACTAATATAGTCAAGATATTATGGAACACACAGAACCTTTAAGAGTTTCCTGATATATCAATGCAGTGTGAACAGTTTTGCAAGCTTTAACATTTAAAATTATGGCTTTTGTTTCATTTGGTTTGCTAGAAGGTATTTCCATGAGGAACATGTGCAGTGAAATCAAGTCCTGGAACACTATAAAAAAAAAAGAAATGAACGTAGATATATTTCAGTACAAATGCTACTCCCAAGAATCTTCCTTTCTTCTGTCCATGGGCCATGCTAGACATATACTAGACTGAGAAAAACTGTGACATACAAGAAAGCAGGAACATTAAGTTGTTCAGCTCAGATATATGGGAATTTGGAAGTCTTAAATAAATACAGAAAATTCATTCCCACCTTCTCCCTCCCGCAACATTTCACAGATATGTAAAGTCTCACAAGTATTTAGCATCCGAACACGCCACTTCCATTTGTGTTAACCAGTGAAGGCAGGAATAAGTCAGGAGATGTACCATTTTGCACAATACAGAACAAATCACATTTTCACCTTAGATACTTCGTAGAGACATGACTAGTGGCATTAGTCTGCTGCAGATCAGTGTCTCTATTGTATACTATTTTTTAACAGGCTTTTGAAAAACACAGGTCTTGGAATTATTTTTTTTTCTTAGTTTCCTAAATTAGCTGCCTTAGATATATACATCCAAGACAGTACTTGATGGGCTTGTTTAGTGTTAGAATCTATATTTGTCATCCATGTTTTATGTATGCTTTTAAATCCATGTCAGAAAAGGCAGTTGTCAGCTGTGAAACAGCTATTAAAATGTACCTGCAAGTCTATTGATGCTGATGTCAAGGAGTTGTTCATTTCACTAAAGCTATCTAAGGCTGCAGCCTGCACTCGCACATGATTCTCTAAGGATTCCTGATGAGCATTTGTCACCTGAGCGGGAAAAAAAAAAAAAAAGAAGTTTTATATAGAATAATGATCAAGTTCACCTACTCTTTCCAAGGGAGCTACAGAAGAGAAAGACTCCATGGTTAATTTTCACAGTACTAGGATGCTTAAAATATACAGGCCTCAAACCATATTCTTGCACCTCAGAAACAAACAAACAAAACTTAGAATCCAACTATGCTAACAGAAATAAGGCACAAGTATCTATGTTTATTGCTAGACAGTGATCACTGTAAAAGCTGTTCTTTTTGAAAGGACAAGAGGACACTTGGCAGATGTCTATTCAGAAAGTTTATATACACAGAGTGGGCAGATTATAAAAAGTCCTAGAGTGAAAAGCAAAAGAATGCCAGAAGTGAGAAAATCTAGAACAGTTTGGTTAGAATAGCCTTAATTAAGAAGGAACTGACTAATCAAATACGTAAAGAAGCAACATCAAGAAGACTTAAGGATGAAACAATACGAAACAGGTAGGAGAAGTCAGCAGACAGCTTTGCTGTGTGAAGATTTGTCATCTTCTTTTATGTGCACACATACACACACTTAAAAACTGGAGGGGGGAAAAAAAGGCACAAAATTACATCATTTAAGAAGAGGCCAAAACTCAAATAGTGTAAATAATTATGAACCATTCAATAATAAAGAGAAAAAAAATGTTACTAACAGAGGCCAGCCCAACTCACATTCTTAGATGGACCAGATTTGTTTCTTATTAAAAACATAAGAACACTAGGGACTGATATAGAGAACAATGAGTGTTTAGTAACCAAGTCATACACAGATTAGGTCAGCATAGGGAGCAGAAGCCAAGTAGTTACTGTTAACCCTGTAACAATAAACATGTGCTCATGTAAAAACAAAAGAACAAACAAAAGCAGAAATGCTTTGGATGGATTAAAGAACTTACAAGAGAAGAACTCGTGTGAAGAAGCATACTGCCTAGGGCAAGATATTGGAAGTACAAATTTCAAACAAACTTCCCGAACAAAAAGTAGTTCTGGAAATCGATGGGGAAAAAGCGTAGTGATTCAAAGCTGAATCAAAGAGTATATAAAGAATTTTAAACAGGATCCCCAAATAGCATGAAAGATGGCAGTCATGTAAAACCAAAACCCAAACAAACAGAAAAAGCACATATTATGAGGTAGAACAACACTTGTGTTTTCTTTCAGGCAGTCTAAAGTATTAAAAAAGGAGGGAGAGTGTCTCAATGTGCCATTTACGTCAGGAGTGCTTCATAAACTGCTAATTTGCTGCAGAACTAGAGATTCTGTCAGAGCTGGCCAGAAACCCCTAATTAAGAGAGATGTTCAGATTCATGCAGGATTTCTACTGGTCTGACAGAAGATCTGGAAGTGCAGAATGTGGCTACTGCTATTCAGTAAACAGCAGCAGCAAAAATTACAAAACCGCATCTGAATCAGCATTTGCCTACATGCATTCTGGGTAAGAAAATCACCTTGTTAGCATCTTTAAGACTATTCAACACAGAATTACAGAAATTCCATTTTCTCTCCCTCCTCCTCTCAAGTTATGGTCATTTCTTTGTTGTTGTTTTTTGTAGACTAGTTGCCACAGAATAAAAGTACCAGTTCAACAGCCAGTTCTGATCTTTATACCTAATATAGCGCGCTAGGAACTGACAGCCTCCATATGAGGATGGCAGAAGGGCTCAAGCCAGGGTTCCAGTCCCTTGAAGTCAGAACACATTTAATTGCCAAAACTTCATCTGAACCAGGCTGTGAAAATCAATGCTGAATATAAAATCCACAGCAAGTTTTCAAGGACTTTTTTTGACCAAAGAACTCAGCAGTTTAATATGAAGGATACTTCTACAGACTGCAGCAGCTTTTATTGCTAAAGCAGCATATCAGAAGAAAGAGAGGTCATTGAATGACTATTGAAAGGTTCAATTAAGAACCAAAAGGTAAGTAATTTTTAGAACTGTCAAACACTTTGATACTAAAGAATATTGCTACTTCTTTTACTATAATGTTTAAACAATAAAGTCAGTAAAACAGAGCAAACTGTTGAAATTACACTAAGTTGCACATTACTCTTAATTATGTAAGTTATTTGTTTAATTCACCTGGCAGCTTATTGGTAGAAACATCTCCAGTAATTACCAATACAGACAGACAACGCTATCAAGATTATTCTTTTATTTCCAAGAAGCAGTCAATTAGTAATTTCATATGCAAAAGCATTCCTGTCCTACTTTACCTTCCTGGAGGGAAAAATAAATAAAGAAAGAAAAGTATAGGTGTCACATAAAAAAATTAACCGGACTGGTCTGAGAAATTACTTCTGTTCTGCTGAAGCAAAAAAAAAAAAAATCTAGATAACACTGGGACACTTATTCTCACATGCTTTTCCTAAAAAATGAATGTATACTTACTTTCAGTTCATTCGTAAGCTGCTGTATTTTTCTTTTCATTTCATCATATTCACCATACATTTTCTTTCTTACTTTTTCCAAAGTTGCTCTCACCTGGTGTCAGAAAAAAATCAAATGCCTTTATCAAACTTATTGATTGCACTGTTTATACTAGGATGTGATTTTTTTTTCCCTATGTCCTTCATTAATACTTTCAGTAATTTCCATTATTAATCTACCTTTTCATCACAGCAATTTACTCTTAAGAACAAGACAAAAACTTAAGTCTCAAGACTTGTCTACATAGGGATGATATGAATAAATGTCTCTGAGTAATTATAAACTTCTCTCTACACATTTAAACGCTTGTAAATTAATAATTTAAATAATGAATTTCAATTAAATTATCCGTAACTCATTCTAACCTTATTACTAAAGGAATTAAAACTAATTTGAGCATATAATGTTTTCTTTCTGAAAGAAAGCATTCACACAGGGATTTAATATAACTTCATACTTTTTTCAATAGTTAATTAGTTTTCCCTGAGTATCCTTTGAAGATAAACTCTTTAATTTTGGACTTTCAAACTAATATCTAGCTAAACAATATATTAGCATAAATTTACCAATGCAATTTCAAATCTGAAGGACAGAGTACTCAACTTGATTTTATTTAAGAACTATGGATGTAAATTATACCTTGCCTTTCAAAAAAAAAAAAAAAAAAAAAAAAAAAAGAAAAAAAAAAAAAAAAAGCGCATGCTGGAAGCCAGCTTGGGTTTACATGCCATTGCAATCGTGCACAGTACCAATCTTCTCAAGAGCACACGTTGTAAACACTAGTTAAATGTTTGCCTACAGTCTACTTTCCAGCTACATAATTCAAATTATTCCTCCCATCTATCAAACACAGACTGATCGCAGATAATCTAGAGCAGTGAGCTTACCTCGTCTCTGTATAGGCTTGGGGAAGGAGCAAGGGGAAAACATTAGCAGGGCCTTACACAGGAGGGGATGTTTCTAGCAGCTCTGCAGTATACCCACTCCTTCCCAGAAACAGAGGCATTAGCCACTACATCTATGCAAGGAGTAGGCACAAGCCTACCCCAAACTGTGTGCTCACTTTAGGACAAGAAATGTGGAAGGAAGCTGACTCCTACACTTCATCTCAGGCAAGCACCCCTTGCCCTGTCCCTACCCACACATATGCACATGCACACACACATCTTCCTCTTGCAAGGTGCAAATTTGACTCAGATACAGAGGAAACCATCAGCAGTTCTGACATGGCCCATCATTTTTCGTCTATTTAAGCCAGCACATACATGGCACAAGCTAAAGACTCTTGTTTAAGACTCGACTTTTAAAGACGAAACTTATCTGGCAGACCAAAGTTCACAAATTAGCACAGCTGAACACAACTTCCAGAAGACTGGAGAGCAAGAACCAGAACATCTCTTCCCATGCCTTTCCTACTTTTTTCCTGAAAGGATCAGTACCCTGAACACACATGCAAGACTTGTGGTTCACCTGGTCTGACATGTCCCTCCATGCCACAAGCCATCTGTGAACAGAAACGAGCAGGGAGATGGTCCCAGTCCAAGCAACCTGCACCATGTACCAAAACCAGTGCAGCCTGGGGAGCTGGATCTGCCACGCGCCAATTCGCCCTGACACCACCCCAGAAGAGTTGATAAGCTACCCAGGCACAAAACCAGCCCCGAAGCAGCTAATGTGCCTCATCTGGACTGCAGTAGTGACATACGCTAACTGTGAGCACAGGAACTTGAGAGTGGTGAATGCTTCGAGCTAGTAAACTGAGAGTAATAAAGGAGAGAAGCAAGTGCTCACAGCTAGAGACCAGGCAGATGTTAAGAGCACACATAATCACAGTCTCTTACACTGCTGGCCTGACTCACTCTTCCTCCCTGTTATATCAACTCGGTTTGCACTTGAAACAGTGTAATATGATAACCATTGACCAAGAGCTTCCTGGGTGGTGAAGGTGGATGGAAAGAGAAGGTCAAATTATTTGCCCTGGACTAATTAAAGGGTTATTGCCAAAGCCTGAGAGCCAAGGACTCACAGGCAAAGAGATGCTGAGTTTCAAGCACAGAAACCAGCAGCATCAAAAACGCTTTTTTTTTTCTTTCAGGAGAGCTTCTGCCAATTACAATAAATGAGCATGCACAGAGGAAAGTAGTACAAAGTCATCCTTATTAGGCTGACTATTTTAAGGCTGCCCCAAAATACACCCAAGTGATTTTACTATGTCACCTAATTTAAGAACGTTTTCAAAACTGGAGGGTTTGGGGATGGAGGAAGCAGAGGAAGAGAGGAGAGAGTTCGTCCTTTCAGGTGTCTGCTTATAGTTTCTTCTGTATCATATTTGAAGTTATGAAGGCTTCAGGACAGGAACCCCAAGGTCTGTTTGGCAGTTTGCTTGCCCAGCTGCAGCCCAGTCAGCAAGCACTAACAAGCATCACTTTGCACAGAGGCCTTGAGTCTGAACTGCAATTCAAATTCAGATGTTGGGCTACACATCAGCCATCTCATCCATATACACCCACAGCTCTACGTGAATATATGGAAAGGATATTTGACAAATTTTGAAGCTGAAAGCATAACTCACTTCTTTAATGTAATTCATCTCCTCTTTCAGCTGATCAGCTGACCAGCCATAAACCACCATTTCTCTCTTATGGTTGTTGTCAGTTCGGTGCACGACGCCATATACCATCCCATGAGAGAGCTTCCCTGGAGACATGCCATTTGGTACATGGTAGAGCTCCTTAAACAAAAAAAATTAAAAAGTTATTTTAAAATCAGACCTAGAATAAAAAAAAATAACAAACAAAAATACAGTAACATAGAGCCAGAAGAGACAGCCAACTATAGTGAAAGCACAACAGTACCCAAGAACACTAATTCCCAATTGTTTTGGGGCCAAACTGTCAACCTTCATGTTTTTGGGAAGATCAATGACCTGTTTATAATTGATAGAGATGACAAAGATGTCTAATTTCCACAAGCTTTAATGGAAGTGATATAGGTACAGGTAGAGACAACAGATTGGATTTGTGCAAGGAGAGGTAGAGGCTTGTGAGAGAAAAAGTTATCCTGTCTTATTTTCAGTCACCAACATATGCTACTTTTCTGCATTCTTCCAGAGCATTGTCAGCTCTCACAGTTCCCTTTAAACTCTTGCAACCACAGAATTGCCCCTCACTCCCCGAACTCCCTGCTGCAGGAAATATAAAAATTCACAAATTTAATAAAAAATTTTAGAAAGTTCTCACAAGAAATTGAAATTAAAACATTTTAGGCAAGGTTCCTTAAATAGAGCTCAGAAAATACCTGTTTATTTTGGAGATAAACAATGTAGAATTTCAGTTTGTATTTAAAGCTAACTAAGGACCTCCAAAGCACTCTAACATTCATTTCAGGGCTGCATTTCTCTTATAGAAGTTGCAGAACTGACATTGTAGAGCCAAAGCAAAGCAAAGCTATGAAACAGCATTTATGTGGGTGTTTCAGTGTTATTGACCATTGTAGGAGGTTAAACTTTGAAATCAGGTCTTGACAGACAAATAGGCTGTTTTAAAGTGCCAATGTTGGTTATTTTAATGGTCTGCAGAAATTTGTAAAATGTACTTGTATGTCTTACTTTAGGGCACTCACTGCAACAGACTCCTCTTATTCATTACATCAACATACTTAGTAAGAAAAATATTCATGCAAACAGCAGGAGTCATTTCCCTCAGCGTGTAAATAAATATCTGCAAGGTCAGATGTAACCACCTGACCTGACTACTCACCTCCCTCCCATCTGATCAACCCAGAGAAACATCCTTCTATAGCAATCACCTGAAATGAATCAGTCTCCTGAAGTACTAATTTCTCTTCTTGATTACAAAGAACAAGTGGATTAGATGAAGATATCCTCATTACGACTTTTTAAAGAGAAGGGAGAAAACTATTCTTACCTAACTTTGAATATTTGCAAACTAGGAACCTAAAATTAGTGATTATTTCTGAACAGAAAGTTAGAAAGACACACTCTTGGAAAACACAGCTGTTACTGCTTAGCATTGCACGTTGTTTTTGAAAGGCCAGTGCTTGGGACAAATCAGTTAACTTTCTTTCTCACGCTAGATGTACTAAGATACAGATAAATTTGTGAGCATTTACTACATTGACCTTAGAATATGTTTGGGTTTGTTTTGCTGTTCAGTACTGACACTGTACGAAAACTGACAAACTTTGCGATTCTTTACTAAATCAAGAGTCTAAGCACTGTCTAAATGACACCAAACAGAGGCTGGAAGAGATGAAGCTCAGCATCTTATATCCATCTGCATCATAGAGAGTCTCCAGTCCTTACCATGACAGATGGTGATGATAACATCTGCAGTCTAAAGCACTTTGTTTTTAGCAGCCAAACTAACACAACTATGATGGCAAAGTAAAAATAATTACTTCTTTGGGTAAGGGAAAAATGAACAGGAATATCTACTTGCAATAAGAAGAATGGGTAAAGATAGACATTTGTTTTATATCGTGTCCCTCCTGCACGGCACTGAGATTTTCTCAACACTGTAAATCCTACACATTTTCCTTTACCGTATCAGTAACGTCTCAACCACTTTGCTGAAGCTCTTGAGCTGTGTGTGCAGGGCTGGGAGGGCAACAATCACAGAGCAGACATCTGATAAAGAACATTTCAGGGAAAGAACAACAAAGCTATAAGCAATCATCTAAAAAGAAAGCCTTAAAACCACTTAGTGGAAAAATATTGGGCAACCAGCCCTACCTATACATATCATTTTGCACTTTGAAAACATTATATGCAAAGCTTCATATTCTGATAATCAGAGTTTCATAATTATGTATTATTGTTTCTTTTTGTTTTGTTTTGCTGTTTTGACACGTACAAACAAAAACCTCACACCTGATTTTTGGAGAGTAGAGAAAATACAGAACCTAGATGTGGACATGTCTCAAAACTTTTTTGTTTGTTCGCTTCCAGGGTTGTACAGTTTCTTTGACAGTTTCATCACGGCTCCTCCCCTGCATCTGGATAAAGGGATTACATACAAGTTTCCATCTTCCTGATAACGAAACGAATAATCACTTCGATTGTTTAGAGGTTACTAAGGCATCAAACACTGAATTCATAAATCCATAGTCTTTACGCATGATCATTCATGTTTTATGAGGCAAACAGCTAAATACCAGCAACTATCAAGATCCTTTGTGCCTCCAAAACATTAGCAGAATTGTTTAAAACCCTCTTTACAGAGTTCTGTATGAAAATTATGAGCAAGTTCCTTATTTTTAGACTATTATAAACTCATTCCTAAGGAATGCTTTGAAGGATGTTTTTCCCCCTTTAAGACCTACAAATTCAGATCAATGGGTTTACAGCTGGAGAATCACTCATAGCACTTACATACTTCACAGATGAACAGACTTAAATTTACATCATAACAGCCAGTACATGCAAGATTAAGCATGCACAAAGCCAGACCGGTTACATGTCTCTTGCAACAATGCTAAACTTGCCTGTTGTCGGTATTTGCACAAGTCTCCCAAGATGCCTTTGTCACTTCTCTTTCAGAAGATTACAAGAATCTCCACCATCTGTTGAGCGTTCCAGTTCTACTATGTGCTACTTAAAATACAGGATATTGCTTTTACCCTCTCCTTATTCTTCCTTCATATCACAATCCCCAGGCAAGCACTTGTTAAATTTCAGTACACTTCTTGCTTGATTTAAAGCTGTGTGTACCAACAGGTATACAAATAAGTGCTCTCATATTTCTTCAGTCTTTTTCCTTGCTGTTCTATTCCAGCTACAATTACCTTCTACTCCCCCTTTTCTCTGGTTGGTAACTATTAATTTCCACTCAGTGGCCACTTGTTTCAGGGTTCAGCATATACCCTGACAAAAAAGGGCTAACCTGATGCAGTCTCCTCTTAGAGAAAGGGTTACAACCAGAAAACTTTGCTCAATGCTGGGTTAAGAGGTGGGTGGGTTGCTTTGCTTGTTGACTGTTTTTTTCACTACACCTTTGCCTCTAAAGGAGGCCTTGCTGAATGGCTTAGTTCCCAAACTGCTCCACAGAACAGCACGAGTATGCTTTCTGCCAGTTTGTCTCCTCTCTTAAGCTACTTCCACCCACTTTTGTTTATTTTTCTCCCTTGGTGTTTTTTCCTTTTCTGCCTTGTCCTCTGTTCTTCCTCTGTCACGTCATCTCTCTCCCATGTTTCCTCTTCCACAAATCCTGGATTTTCCACACCCTTACGGACTACAGAATGGTTTTTTAAGTCAAATACTTTTCATTGTTTTCCTTTATGTCCCACACATACCCACTCTCAGAACTTAGATATTTTTCTGAGACAGTCCTCACCTGTTAGATATTTTTCTGAGACAGTCCTCACTCTTATCTGCAGTGGGGCATCTCAGCGACGATAACAGAATAAGTAAATACATGGCAAGTATTTAGGAGCAAGTAAATACTGTAAAGCTAAACAGAAAAGTGCTTGAAGATGAAAGGTTTCATTAGATGAGTTAACCATTGCTGTTTAAGGTCAAAATACCAGCCAGCTCCAGAGTACAGGGAAGTTCTTGCTTCTCACCTGCCTATGCACTTGCTGCACTGGAACAAGTGTAGTTGTTGCCCCAAATCACGCTCAAAATCCCTTCTAATGCAAGCCGCTGATCTGAAAGGCATACTTACTCCATCAATTTGTGATTATTTCTTTGTATCTATAGTCAGTTACATGACAGTCCAAGATGACAGCAAGAACATACCACGTTGATGGACGTGACTACTATAGCAGCTTCCAGGAACAAGCTTTGTCTGTGTTGCAGCAACAGTCATGTTACACTTGGTGTGATCACACAGCATGTACTAAAGAAACGCAGACTGTGTTTACTTAATTAATAAATATTTAAAACAGAAGCCTACACCCCAAGGTTGCAAAAGTCTTGATAATTGCCATGCATCCTGTTTATGTCTCTGTCCAAGGAAGTAGCACAAATAGCATGAAACAGGTGAAGCAAAGACACTATAAAAACAAACCCTAAATATGAGTTGGTAGCTGCTTTTTGTATTGCCCATGGTTTTATTGGCATTATGTAAACAACAGAGGGATAATTTGCTTCCTAATCTATCCACATCATTTTTGACATATGTCAGATACCCCCATCTTTATTTCTCCTTGCCCCAAAATTGGAAGCAGAAGCACAGAAGTATCTTATTGAGATGAAAAAGGACATCCAATGTAACAATTAGCACAATTCTGGATTTAGTACTCATATGGCCTTAAAATTTTGGCAAATTATGATATTCTGTTTACCTATACCATTTAAAAACTCTAATTTTAAAAAGTATATCAGTTAAGTGAGGCTTTATCTTTTCCTCAACTGCCACATTCCAGAGGTTTCTGAAATACCCAGTTATCTTTTGCTTGTTCACTAGTTATGCAAAGAACAAGAACATCCACATTGTTACTTAGGTTACATATTTTCTGCTCAGTAAAATGACAAATTTATAATACTGACGTCACCAAGGAAAGTTACTGTGCTCTGACAAATGGTAGCTATGTTTTTATGTTTTTTCATATTCCTCTACAGCCCATGAAAGTCACGTTACATTTAGAGATGTTTCATATATAAATAGTATTAAAATAGGGAAAATATACCAAGACATAGATAGGAGTGTTCTTAAATTCATGACACGAAACAAGAAGCATTGTTTAACACATTCCAACTTTAAAGCTCCTTGAAATGTGGAATTTAGATGCCTATCTCAAAAAATAGAAGTGACAGGCATTATACAGTCATATCTAATCAATGAAACCCTTACATAGAACATCAATGTTTATACATTAAGAAAATAAGACACCACAAATACAGCAGTAACCACAGAAGTCAATGAAATTCTTTCTGTGGTTTTCATGTAGTGCTGTTTTTAATGAAGGTGTCACTTAATTAGTACACACGAAAAAAATCAAGCAGTAAGTGCTGGAGAGGCTGAAAAACAGTAACACCAGCCACCTGTAGCAGGTGAACCACATTTGTTGTGACACAACTTCTGCTATGCTGATGGGAGCAGGCCGGCAGGAGCAGCTCAGCAGAGAAAACAGGCACTGTCCTAGATTAAATGTGCACAACAGCCCCATGTTCATTGCACTCACATTCTTTGGTCTAGGCCTAACACAAGTTTCTGCTTGATTCTCTCCATCACATGCAGGAGCAAATTCCCCTTCTGGCTTCTTTACAGCCTACTTTTTTTGCTGGGGAAAAAAAAAAAAATGTTTGCAACGCTTCTGTATTCCTGCTTAGGAAGCAAAAAGAGTTTCATTTCTTGGTTGTGATGCTTTAAAAACATAAGAACATTGAAGAGTTTGAGGATATATACAGCCAAAGTACCAATTAGAGTTTAAGACTAAACACTGCTCAAACTCTGTTGAAAGCCACAAAGACAGGAAAGTAACACCAATTTCTAGAATGTTATCTCATTTTCATTCTCTTGTCCATGTCTCCAAATGAAAAAGAAAAATCTATCCATGCATATCTTCATATTCTGCCCTCAAATGCCTAGCTGCAGCTTCCAATGACACTTACAAATTTAGCCACGACAGTGAAGAAATGGACTGATGGATAAAAATAAGCCCAGTCCTAAACAGGGACAATACAATTGCTTGGTAGCCCTTTATTATGCAAGACAAGGCAGGCTTCAGGACACACAGATTTTGCATACAATCTGGCAGCACAATATTCCTTTGTACTTCATGGTGAAATAAACAGCCTCACGCTACTGTCACCCACTGTCTATCATTAACATAAGTAATGGAACAAAATCAGAATAGTTTCAGATTCTCTCTCCCTAAAGTGCTGTCAATTCAGAGATATTTAGCAGTAGGCTTTTGGCCTGTAAAAAGCAAATGAACCAACCAACCAGCCTCTACTTGTGACTTCAGTTCTCATATGCTTCTTCCAGGGTATAATAGCCTAAATATGAACATAAAAATCCAACCTGACACACTGGAGCACAAGCTTACTCGCCCTTCAGTTTTTGAGATCAACTTCTAGCTGCGTACCATCTGCCAGCCTTTCACAAGAGACAGGGAGAGGCCATCCTAGTACAGTAATGCCTGCAGCAATTTTGTTGCAACGAAACTGCCGAGCTCCATCACTTTGCTTTAATGTCTTACACTGGTTCATTTATATTTCATGGATGTAAAGCAATAACAAAGTCAATCTAGAAATTTAATGCACTGATACATATTTAATGAAAGACATTTTCTGCTAAACTTGGACTACAATGAAAAAGGCTAAGCTAACAGCTACTAACATAACCAGTGAAGAATCAGTTCTGATCTGACATCAAGCTCCAAAACAAGTTATTGGGATGATCAGCACCAGCAAGAGCTTCTGTGCAGTTCACTAGCTCATTTTGCAACTGAAACATCTCTTACTGGTACTGGGCCCCAGAAAGATATAGAAAAGTGGCAAATAGTCAGTAAGCCATCACTATGTCACCTCAGGGCAGCTCAAAATCGCCTCCTTCTAATGAAAGATTTGAAAGAGGAGATTACAAACAAATGCCACACCATGGTATATTTATAGTTTCCTGGCATTCCCTTTGACACAGCAAGGTCTCTACTCTCCTCCCTCACCAGCAGCAGGCAGAGGCAGGGAAGTCTGTCTCCAGCACTTGTCCAACTCAAACAGGACGGCACCTGGCAGCCAGGCTCAGACTGCCTGACCTGCCTGAGCACTCCAGCAAAAACTGTACCATCCCACAGATTACCTCTGCAGTTAATTTCTGTAAGTCACACTAACATATTTTAAATACTAAAAACATTTTCCATGTTCCCATTTTCTTAATACTCAGCATTTAAAGACAGCACAGAACTCTAGATTCCAGCAAGAGACCTGCTGTTAAATTTCATTCTTGGTGAAGCTCTATGTTTTGACCTCAAATTATAAAGTGCAAGGCAGAAAAGCAAGCAGTTCCCTAATTTCTCTCTATTATCCCTATTTCAGGGAAGGGAGCATAGTTCTCATAGGACTATGTGAGGTTTATCTAACGTTCATAAAACCTGTTATTCTCAAAGTCCTTTAAGCATTTTCAGTAACACTGAGTCAGTTGAACATGGGTGGACCTGCAGAGATACCTGGCTGCTGCTTTTAGGAGATGTTTGGGGTTTTTTTAATTACATTTTGCACTAAGAGAAAAGTATCACAGCATGACTTGCCAAGAGTCCTGTGTGCACTGTAAGTTACTGTGTAACTAATTCAAATACATAAAGCAATACATTGCATAGACAATAAAAATCTACAGGTAATACATTACTGTTGTTTTAGAGACATGAGGAAAAAACAGTTTATGATCAGTGATTTTGTAGCTGCTTCTATACACTACGACTATACAATCTACAGGGCTATTTTTTTAATTACACAAAGACTGTAAAACACAAGTAGATGGCACAATTACTCTGTTCAATTGCTATGAAATTGACTAATTAGATCCCATCTACCTCTGAAGGCTGTATGTATGCTTTCTAAAAGTCTTTAAATTGTGTGAAAGTACTGAAATTTAGAGGACTACTCAGAACATACAATAATTAAGTTACATACCATCTCTTAAAAATCACTGTGCAACATACTGGAATGTAAGATGAGCCAAATAATGTATTTGTTACCTTTCATATCCTCTCCTTAACATTCTCTGACATACAACCCACTTGCTTTTATTTGTATTATGAGGGAAAAAAGCTCTCATTAAATACAAGGTCTCATAGAGAAAAAAAACTTGGTCACATAAGAAAGTCACTACAAGTTGTCCTAGCCCTAATCCTTCACAATTCTTTCTTATTATTATGCTACTCAGCACACTAACATGAGTAAGCTGTGAGTTAATACCTAAGCTCCTTAAAACCAGACTTACATTACTCTTAGGGCAATGAGTCCATACGCTTAGGCCAGTCTGAGGCCCAAATTTACTTTACATTAAGGCCTCTCTAATCCATTTTTTAAGTAACATTTATAGATCCCCAAGGACCTATTACTCCACCAGAGCAGCGTATGAAAAGCTGAGTATAAACAAGGTTCCATCACAAGAAATATCTGTTAAGGAATCTTTATCTTGACCATTTTACTTTGCATTTCTCTTTATTGCTTTAAAAAGTTTGCCTCCGAGTCATTTTACAGTTACCTTTGCTTATGAGTACCATTAAGAAATTATTTCAAATAAGTCCTCTTGTTGTTTTGCTTCCTATTGTCATATTGCTGTTCAGACATGGGGTCTGGTAAACTTAGCCAACCTCTTGTTTGATTTTGGTTTATCAAAGTGTAAATGTGGTGAATGTGGAGCCCGTCCAGCTTCCCTTTTTAGTCTCCATCCTTAAGACAAATTAAACATCATCTACTGCTCTGAAACAGCTCTTAGAGAACAAGTTTTGCAATAAAGCAGCTGTAAGATTTTTTGTCATGTGCGCACTACTTGCTTCTACAGAAGAATTGCTCTTCTGAACCCTTCTACACACGACCTTCCAATCACTTTCACTTCAGAACAATCTTGAATTCTTTATTTTGTATTTCTTATTAGTAGATCACACGTTACCAAAATTGGCCAAAACAGCAAAGCATCAAAGTCCCAGGCAAGCCAGCTCCCATACACATTAAGGGTCAAATCTTGCACACTGTTAAGCCTATATGAAACATAAAATCCCCTTCAGGTGAGGATCGAGATCCTGTTTAATGCAAGATCCTGCTCTTGATAGCAGTTTCCTACTCTTTAGTATGTAAATATTAAATAATCAAGTCTTAAAGGTACTTCAGTCACAAATCACTTACATTTTCTGTGCTGTTCCTCTACTTCTGTCCTATTTTACATGCAGTTTTGCTATCCCTAACTCCAAGGCTCAGGCTCAAAGCTCACAGCTGACTTGCTCAGCTTCCACATGTTCTTCAGTTTTCCAAGATGACTGGGCAGCTTCGGGCTCCCAAAACAACTAATATCAGCTTCTGTGGAGGGCAATATTTACTCCTTGTTTATACAGAATTTAACTTTGATTCTTAAAACTTACGTTTTTCTTTCTTTCAGGTTCCTTTGCTCCCTGTTCAGGCTGTGAGCCTTCATCAGGTGGTACTGTTAAGCGTAGCCTACAGACATTCATCTAAAAGAAAAACAAATGTTTGCTTTTAGATTTAAATGTTACCAAAAAAAAAATTTAATACCTTGCTTTACAGAATGAACTGTACTAACATTCAAGTTTTAACTTAGTATTTTCTACGTTCTGCCACATAACTGACAAAAGTTTATTTTTTAAAGGTTGGGGAGGTTTTTAGCTGGCAAGAAATAATTCAAGGGCATCCGCGCAACTACATACCTGAAATAGCAAAAATCCATTTCAATCAACAACATATTCTTATGTACTCATAAATGACATTGAGAGCTGAGATAACAGAACAATGAACATCATTTACTAGTTTATCAGTTTTGTTTGCAGATTGGGCATAATTTTAATTTTCAAAAGGGCTTATTTAGAAACACAAAGTGTATTGTGGAGTGAATGCCTCTTTTCTGTTCAATATATATCTAACTATTTCATGCAAGGATACCTCAATACTGGAATTTCACTGAATGTGAATAGGAATATTATTTAAATCTGATACATATAAGTTGTTTGTAAAAACTAAGCTTCAAAATGGTTCAGAGAAAATTTAAGAGGTATTGTTTCCTATCTGATTTCAGAAAAGCCATTCTCTTGCTAAGGAAACAGGCCAATAGGGTTGATATCTTTCTATCCCCAGTTGCAGTTTGCCGTGCTCTTGCCCGAGATCTTCGGTGTAATGATATTTTCAAAGCAATGCATTTCATACAAGACATTTGTTATAACTTTCAGTCTTAGTCCTATTCATGAGACATTTTTGTGGAAAACAACTGTAAGTCTGTAACAGATCATAGCAAATGAAATGAGAAATTTGTCTGTCCAAATTTGAAGCTGCACAATACCTTCCAGTGAATTCCCAGCTGTCTGTTGACAATGAACAGCACTCTTAAAGCTCTTCCTCAGTACGTCTAAAATATCTCTTTCATGATTACTGTGGGCCACCATCACTGTTCTTCTATAGCCCAGCATTTCATCAAATCTAGATCTCTCTAGTTTCTCCTAACTACTTACTTCCAGTCATGCTGAATGTCTACCTTCTCTCTGAAACACATCTTTCTATTACACTTGCCCAAACTCACAGCTCATATCTTGGTCATCACAACACTTCTTTTGCCTTGAAAAAAATGGCAGTTGTGTTCCACTTACAGGCATTCAGAGCACAGCAGCAAAGTCCTTTTGATAGACCCCAAACTTTACCATTTTATAACTCACTTCTTCCAACTGTCTCTCATCAATTAAGCTAACTTGACTTCACTTTCAAGGCTTTTCCCAACTCAACCTGCTCAGAGCATCACAAGGATTCCCATTTTCTCTGTTTCCAAAAAATGGACCTTTTTCAATTTTTCAAATAAGCTTTAATTTTTTCTTCTTCTCAAGCAAAAACAAGTGGAAAAACTATCTGCAAATATCTGCAGCACCACCTTCACTATTTTTCTTCCAGCCTTTCTTTAAATCTGTTGACATGACAAATCAACAGTGTTTACACTATTGGTACGCTGCCAACTGTATTTAAAAAATGCTACTTTGTATTGCCTTCCATCTTCTTCTCTCAGTTTGGTCTTTCACCTCTGCAAGGCCTTCTACCAATAAGGAACAGTGTCCTGAGATCCAGATAAAGTTTCCATAAAATATGTGAGCTGTGTCTGTATTATAAAAAAGAATTAAAAAAACAAGTCTCTAATAAGATCAGGGTGAAAGATAACCTACTCTTTAGATATATCTGCGGAGGCTACTTTTTGTGCAGTGGGCTCCTCACAATTAATTCATCAGTCAGTCATATGCTAGCAAATCCGGAACAAGAAGCCACAGAGAAAGTGACATAAGCCCACCCAAACTTAGTATAAAACCAGGTTATGCTTTCATATTTGCTAAAAAATTCTGAAACAATGAAGTGCATTTAAAAATAACGAATCCTTGCACATTGGCTTTTGACACTGATTAACTGCTATGGGTGTTCTCAGAACTCTCAGACTCTCCCCATGTACTACAGAAGCTGGAGGTGCTTCCTGCTTACAAGTTAGTTATCAAGATATATTAATAATAAACTCCTCAGCTTTGGAGCTCATTGATTCATAAGGTAAATAACACCACCTCTTCTCACCTATTTAATTTCCATTTCCCCCTGATTTTCCTTCTCATTAGCTTAGCAAGGCTCTTTCCTCTTAAAACATGCCTGTTTACAACAAGAAGGGAAACAGAGTCTGGCATTCCTCCATGTAGGAAAACAGAAAAAACAGACCCATAAATAGGAAATAGAACTGAATTTGTGCTGTGCTGTGCAGGAAGTGATAGAGGAGGCCAACTTTCTCTTACAGTGATTTCAAATGAAGGAAAACTGGACTAAAAGGAATAAAATGATTGTCAGGAGAAAACATGAAAAATACCTCAAATATTTTAAATAGAAACAGATAATGACAACTCAAAGTTAGGAGAAAAGGAGTTGTGTATGGTTCTCCGAAGCTGGCAAATGGTTTGCCTGTTAGTCAGTATGTGACTAATAATAGCCAACATACTTAAAGATTCATGGTGTGGTGATTGTAAATAGGTAGTTATCTCTGTACCTGTACACCAGTTAGTGAATCATGACTGCCTGTCACGTTACAGCAATTGATGTCTTACAGGGTTACTATGAAGGAAATCACAAAAGCCCAGTACAGATGGCAGCCAAGTCACAACTAGGTTGGAAATATAAATTAATAACAGTAATTCATTAAAACCAAAACCACAGTACGATCGAAGGATTGTTACAATTTAAACTGGTTTTCTTGCCCTTTTCACATTGCCTTCTATTAGTCCCTGAATCACTTTTTCCCCATTTCCTCATTTCCATGCTAGCTCCTTACTTTTAAACGACCTCAAATCAGTATCATATTTTTGGCAGTATTTCTGTCACAAACTAAAGTTGTAATGCTTTACTTTGCAGCTTGTTGCATGCAAATGTCAAACAGAGGGTGGCATTGGCAATCATCTAAGGATTCCAGCCTTGAAGTCATGCCCAGTGAGGCTTGTACAGCAGTGGCAAAGTACCACCCAGTTCCTCACTAGGACAAACTTATACAGGCTGTACTCTTGCTATTGTTTATAACAACAGGACTTCCTCAGCACCCCGAGGGAAACAGTGGCAAATGTATAAAGTAGCCATTCACTTCTGTTCCTCCTGGGCCACAGATGACGCACTCTACCTAAGGACAGAACTACAGACAAATCCGTTAAAATTCAAGAACATTATAGAGATTGGAAGGGAAAAACAACAGGCACTGCTTTTTCCTTGAACCTCCAGAAGCAATTACGAATACTGTACCTACGCTGTTCTTGCTGTGCAGTGCTTCCTGAAGAAACAACACACTGTACCATTTGTCAGTGAGTTTGCTTGACCAAATGAATGAACAGACTCACATGGAAATGGCAGCAAGCCCTCCTCCAGCAGCAAAACACTGCTGCAGTGATGCCTTAAAATGGAAACAAAATCCTAACAGGAAGAGCCTCGACTCAGTGCCAAACAATGGCAGAATAACACGCAACTGAGGATGAAAGAGTAATTTCCTGAAACAAATTAGGTTACGCAGAGAGATAGTGGGGAGAAGAACCAAAGAGAACTCCCCTAGCAGGGAAAAGGCTATGATTCAATTTCCTGACTGACAGTAAGAACGGGTGAGGAAAACCAAGAACAGACATACTTCTACCCTACTTTATGTCATCAACATTGTACCTTTGTCAGCTTAAAAAGAAATACTGAGTAGAAGAAGGAGGTATCAGCTCTCCAAACTATCAGATTTTAGTTAGATTTGCAGCATCCGTAGCTTTGGCAAGCCAACAATATAAGTAATATTAATTGTGCCAACATTTTATGTTCACTTCTGGCTTTTTGACACCAACAACTCACGAGCAGTATTTCCAAAGCTCATCTGACATCATTTGTGAAACAAATATGCAGACAAGAAAACAAAAGGCTGACAGGTTCAGTCTGGCACAACGCCAGACAGCAAAAGTTTGCTGAGTGCAATGGAAATTGAAGGGTGAAGATATGTTTTTTGACCAAATTTTTAAGAGGCTAGTGGAACAGCACAGATGAGAGCTAACACAGCATGGCAGTTAAGAAAAAGCCAATCTAGGTTAGTTAAAAATGTTAAGAATTCATGGCCCAGATCCACAATCCACACTCATATTTACCATCCTACTCAAATCACTAGGGTGCAACTTAAAACAAATACAGATGACAGATTCAGTTTGAGTAATGTTCTTCAGCCTCTTCTTCCCCCCTTCTAAAAAACAAAGCACCCAGAAAGGCATTAATCATAGCTAACTGTGTAGTGAAATAATTACAGAGCTAGCATTAAAATAACGAGCAATGTTTTTACAGAATAACCAAAGTTACTAGTACAGCAATAGAAAAATACAGGCTGTCCCACTAACAAGTCCCACTCTAGAATTTTTACAGTACCCCCACAGGGGAGATGTGGTTCAATATTGATCTAGCTTCAAATCAACTTTAGAGATAACATCCCAGAATTTAATATTGTTGACCTTTCTAACATCTGATAACAAAATGGTTTGGGGATAACACGTTTGTCGAGTAACTGCTAACCTACCAGCTCAGTGGCCAAAAATCATTCGCTTTGCCCAAGACCCAATGTTATTTTTAGACTTTTGAAGGTAAATGCAGAAAAGGAGTGGATATTTAATTTCAATCAGTCCTAAAAAGTGAATAAGAAAGTACTTTCTTTGGTCATTTATCTGTTGATTAGCCTGCTCCATTTATAAAATCTCTGCTATGAGATTCCCACACAATTAAAGGGCACTGTTCCTGTGACCACAGACACACAGGAATGTGACACACATCTTTCCTTTATTCAGCAGTTATTCTGTCTTCCTCCCGTCTTTTGACAACTCATGATAAAGGGCCCATGTTTCGCTATAAAAAGAGAACAGCAGCTTCTCAGTGGGTTTTATTTGCAAATTAGGTTTTTACCATTTCCTCAAAAGAATGTATCATCAAATGCAGT